CAGTTTATTTAACTAAAAAAACCATTTCGCAACAGTTTTTTTTAATAATTTTAATATAAAGCGTTGTGAAACGGTTTATTTAACTAAAAAGAACTGTTTCGCAACAGTTTTTTAAATTGTTTTAGTATAAACTGTTGCAAAACGGTTTATTTAACTAAAAAGAACCGTTGCGCAATAGTTTTTAAATTGTTTTAATATAAACCATTGCGAAACAGTTTATTTAATTAAAAAGAACCATTTTGCAACAGTTTTTTAAAATATTTTAATATAAACCGTTGCGAAATGGTTTATTTAACTAAAAAAAACTGTTGCGCAATAGTTTTTTAAATTGTTTTAATATAAACCGTTGTGAAACGGTTTATTTAACTAAAAATAACCATTTCGCAACGGTTTTTTATTGTCTTAATAAAAAATGTTGCGCAAAATGTTTTTTATTTTTTAAGATTTGGATCCGATCTGAATCCATTCGAATCTGATTCGATCTAATCCGATTTGAATGAATAACTGATCCGATCCGATTCGATCTGAAATGGATCAAATTTTTTTGATTCGTATCAGATTACGGATCATAAAAAAGCTGATCTGATCCGATCCGTTTCAGATCAGATCTGCAGATACGAATCGGATCGGATTTTTTTCGGAACACTAATAAAAATAATTAGTTAGATTGCTACAATATATGGTAAATCTAATAAGTATACCTTACCATATATAAAAATGACAATAGTGTTTTTAAAGGATATGATTACTCTGGCATCCATTGGCTGAATTTTTGAAGTTTTATTCAGAGGCAGAAAATGAACATCAGTATATCATAAGGTAAGGCCATTTAATTTGTGGCTGGAACAATTGTCAAGGAGAAATAACACACGCTGGCCATGATGCTTTAGGCTAACTTAATGATCAAATTCTCGAATTCACTCTTGAAAGAGCGATGTGATCATCCAGGCTTTGGAATTATTACGGTATGTCATGGGCATGGATTCAATCTTTATATTTTTAAAATAGCACAGTTTTTCAAATTTTCTGATGATTAAAGGTTTTAATTTGTGCGAGCCATCAGCATTTGCACATAATGCAATTGAAAAACGTTCTTTGTTTACCTTACGTCTAAAAAATGTTTAGTTGTTAGCGTCCAATCAGGTTCTAACCTAAAAAATATATCAATATTCATTTAGGATAAGTATGATAATTTTAGATATTTTTCGGCAAAGAATTTACCTATAGAAAAGTTCTGTCTCATCTATGTTATATATCCTTTCAAGAGAATAGTTGGAGCAATGTTCTCTTAAAAGGGGTAAAGCATCAGCAATAGCAGCTTCATCAGCAGACGAAGCTTCTCCATCAAGCTTTCATTGACAAATTCTATTGCGATCCTTAAATTTATGAAGCCATCCCAAGGAAAATTGTAATGCATCTCGGAGAATATCTAATTCATCAGCAATCATTCTTGCTTTTTCGACAAGTAATACATTGCTTAAAACTGTTCGATGCTGGTAAGTTAAGATGAATTCCTTGAGTGCAAACTTAAACTCTGAATAGATAACTAATTTATGTCACTTTGTATTTGGACTGATAGTTTCAGAACTGAGTTGTTTCTCTGATGTTTGTGGAATACGAGTAATGGTGTTATCATTAACTCTAACACACCACTTTTCTTCAATCCAGTCAACATACTGAGTTCAGGTCCTTTTATTATCATGAGCATAAACACAAAGTTCTCTCAGTAAGAGTTGTCCTTTTAAGAGACATGTTTAGGATATCCGAGTAAATGACTGATTTTAATGTTATTAAATAATGGTAAAATCGTCATCCTTTTTCCTTAATTTAAATACATGACAGAATACTAACACACACTATTTCCTCATTAATAAATAAATCTTCCCTAGCTATACTAATTTGGGATAATCAATCAAATAAATATTCTTACGCTGCAATCATAATTCCCCAGAATCACTAACTATACATAAATAATTAAATAATTTACATATTAATTGATTTTATTTTTAATAAATCTGAAAAAGGTTTGTATCTATTCATAAAATAAAAAATAAAGGAATTGAAATTTCAACAATTACTTAATATACAACTAAAATTTAAAATAGATTATTATATATAATCTTTAACTGTAAAAAATGAGTCATCATCTGGCATTTTGAATATCACATTTGGGCAAAGAAAGAAATTATTGTAAAGGGCTTAAAGAATGAGAAAAAATATATTGTTGAAATTCTTTATTGGCCAGATTTCACATGATGATCAGAGTTTACAGTGTAAACAGTCGAATATCAAGCATGAAAAGATGATAAAATTCAATCGCCAAATATAATTACCAGATATTAAAAACGAACAAATTAATTATGAATTGGCGTAGATGGATAAATGATTAGCCGAAAAGGATAAACATTTAGGAAGAGTAATGATCTACATGATGTAATATTTATCGAATGATTGACAAAGAACCAATAGAATAATTAGAGTCAATCAATTGTGGCTTGGCAATCTTTAACAATAAGAACAATTAGAAAGAATAATTATAAGCCACAAAAGATAGATTATAAGCAAAACACATAAAATGGAAATATAGCGAATTAAAAGAACATATAAAATAATGTCAGAAAGATTAAAGAACATAAAAGATAATATAAAAGATAATATAAAAGATATTATAAAAAGATAATATAAAAGATAATATAAAAGATAATATAAAAGATAATATAACATATATTAAAAAGATGGAGTATAAAAGATAGAATACAACATATTAAATAGCATATTAAAAGATAGCATATTAAAAGATAGCGTATTTAAAATATAGATAGCATATTAGAAAGACAGTTCAAAGATAATATATAAAAAGAACATAAAAGATAGTATATAGATAGCATATATTAGAATAGAAAGTATTATAAAATTTGTATAAATAGAGAGCGGAATTCAAAGTAATTCCACAGTTCTAATCCACAGAACTCAATAAAAATATAAGTTTCATTTAATTATTTGTTAGTAAAGTTTAATATTAATTAAAGGTAATAGGTTCGCCCTAAACTTTAATTGATGTTTGCTAAATTAATTTTAATTGAATAAAATGAAGATTTTTAAGATGAATTAAATATACACTTTTGAAAAGTAATAATTCGTAGCGAGAGCTATCGAAGTTTGAAATTAAAGGTAAAAGTGGATATAATTTGGGAAAAATTCAGAGAAGTTGAATTTATTTTATATCGTTTGATATTTTATATTACTAACGCTATTTATTTTGTGAACCAAGAATGTTGTTGTTGTTTATTAATTTGTTTATTCGTTTAATTGTTCGTTCATTCGTTTATTCGTTCGTTCGACCATAAGAATGCCCGTTTGATGTGGCAACTCTGTAAATTGATGACAGAGGGAATAGGGGGATCTCAACAGCTATCGATGATTAGTCAACTTTATGTAATTGTTATGTGAATGCATTTATGGAGGGCTGTCCAATATACCTAGGTTTCGGAATTGCTTGCACGTGCAGAACATGAAGGGTATGCACTTAGCATTAAGTCCCTAGCTTAGGACCATATCATGGTGTACATATAGAGAGAAAATGCACTTATAGAAGGTGCACTTATAGAGGTGTGAGTGTGTGACTGTGCCTTAAATACAAACTCACACGCTAACCCTAATCATATTTATGAGCTAATGACTAGTAATCTAAAGCATCGTATGCTCTTACCAATTGCAAACCATCTATAAATAAATTTTACTATGCATGACTAGCTGCATATATTAATATTTTTATTCACAACAAAATGTAATTATAATATTATTTCTTCTAAAAAACCTATAATTGAATTAAACAATCAATGTCTTTTACATTATTATTATTATTATAAGGACTAATTTAGGACTGTCCCAATTTGGTCCTAAAATTGGAACCCAGTTCTGCTAAGACTAAGTCCAAAAACTTAGTTCTAAAGTTCGGGACTTGAACTTTTCTCATCCTATATATAATTTTTTGAAATATATATAATAGTATTTGTGATTATAAGTAATTTGTAATTATAAATAATAGATTTTATATATAAAAATTGAAACAATTAACTAAGGTAACTATATAGGATAATATAACTATAACAAAGATGATTAAAAAGAAAGTTAACTGTAATAAATCATTTTTTTAATTTTAATATTAATATAGAAATTGTTATATTTAAAAAATAATTTTTTTATATTTATTTATGTAATAATTATTGATTGTAAACCTTTAACCAATAATCAGATTTTAATAAAATTTATACCATTCAATTTTTCTTATTGAAATGAAAATTATATTTATTAAAATTAAATTTTTAAATTATTTAATTAAAATAAAATAATTAGCAAAAAAAGGTTTGTAAGAATAACTAAAAAAGTTCTAACTTGCCAAAATTATCATTATAACTTCATAAAAATCAATATAATTTGCTAAAACTTAAAAATATAACTTTATGTTAAATTTGCTAAAAATTTAAATTAGACTGACTAATTTGTTAAAATTAAAATATAACATATATATATATTAGAATCCTTCTAAAGTTTAAACTAATTAAATTATATTTTAATTAAAATTACGCAAATATTGTAAAATAAAAAAAAATTTGAAAAATTTATAAGAATATATATATATTATAAAATATGCTATAGAATTAAATACTAATAAAAAGTTAAAGTAATAAATAAAAATATATAAGTTGTATTATTTAAATTTTTGTTATAATTAGAAATAAAATTATTTAATATACTATAGTACTTAATGTTATACTTAATTAATTTGAATCAGTTTTATATTAAAAACTGATTATTAGATTTTTTTAAGGTCAAACTGAAAACCAAAAGGCAATTTTAAATATATTAAATATAAATTATAATTACTACTGTATATTAATTAACAAATAATATAAAATAAGAAAAATAATGTAATATATAAAAAATATATAATATATAAAATTATGCGGGTATTGAATACTATTAGTGTAATTTATAATTTTTGTTTTATTCTTATTTTTTTTTTTTAAATGATTGCTGGCTAATAAATAAACAAAAAATATATCTCAGTTATCATTATACAAATTACATTACTAATATACAATCTTCAAAGCTAATCAATTTCATCTATAGTAGTAGTAATTCTACATGCTCACTGACAGACAGGCATTCTTTTGCTCAATATAAAAACCTTATCACTATCTCTTAAACATACATTATATTTAGGACAAGTATAAACATATTTAATTGATTTTATATTACTATCAGAAGTTTTTACTCTCTTGGTTCGATACAATCCTAAAGGTATAACTTTCTTCTCTTCCACAAGATATTTGAATAACACACCATATTGAAATCCAATGTATGCCTCTGGAACAGAAATTTGAAAACAGTGTGAATAGACTGGAGCAGGACAAGTAGCTCCAGAGAGCAAATGTAATGGGCGAGCTCCAAAAAGCAAATGTTGAATTATTGCTACGAGATGTGGTTGATAAAATGATTGACAAATAATACTATCAAGCATAGATAACGTGAAACACGTGCCAGCCATAAAAGCTGGAGAATGGTGGGCTATTAAAAGGAAATATATGCATGAATATTATTTAATAATTTTGCAATACTAACGTGTAAGGACTTAAAACACACCTTTCATATTTTTATCAATGGCCGATGCATCTTCGGACATAAATTTCATATTATCCATATGAACAAATTCTACAAATACGTCAATATCAACCTTACACATAGCCTTAATATTCAAATATACTAACATTGCTGATGCATCTTCTGTTTTTTCTCCATTTCTAAAAATTATAGATAACACGTAAGAAATATAATCGGATAAATAAGCATATACAGGAACATACCTTAAGATTCTTGTGGAATCTGCTAAAATCACCTGTAAAATAATATTACAATAAATATAATACCAAGCTATTAGGAAATTTGCAAAGTATACGTACGGCTTGTTTAGCATGTTTTACTCGGCCAAGTTCTAAACCCTCTCTCGTCATTGGGTTTCCTTGCACAAAATAAATTTGATCAAAATGACTCAGAATTTTCCATTGACTTTGGCTTGGCCTTACCAGGGATAAAATTACTATAGGGATTATTTTTTCTAAATATGGTTTACGCAATGGACTAACAAAACAATCAAGATTACGTGGGAATATTGTTGGGGAATAATCACATATAAGAATATGACCAATGATAGTATCGACAACAGAATTTGGATGTTCAATTTCATGTACGATATTTGCGAGAGTGGTACTCGCAGGATCAATGGTATATGAAGGATGTGGAGGATGATGTGAAGGATGAGAAGAATGATGTGAAGAATGATGAGCTTGATGGTCATTGCGTTGATCAGGTGTTGACATTGCACGGTGACGACGCATAGTTGAAGAATCAGGTCTGTGTGGGTATTCAAGTTGTGCGTCTGGTGTTGTAGATGGGCCCCCTTTTTTCTTTATATCAAAGTATCCTCCTCCTGAATTGTTCTTCAATACATCTGCAGATAACAACGGTTGTCTTTCTGGTTGTACTTGCGCTTGTCTTTCATTTCTTTGATTTCCACCCTCATAAGATGAAACATCATCTGCTATAGAACTATGTGATGCAATAACGAATCCAATCTCATCACCTTTCACGGTATAATCCCCAGGGTTTATTAACACCATATAATTTTTGGTATCTTCCTCTTCCTCACTATTTTGATCATAACTCCAACCTGCATATCTGCCAATTGAACGTTGTTTTGGAATTCCAATGGCAAACAAAACTATACCCAAACTATCATATAGTCGAACTACATAAAAAATATGTAAGTATATTCCTAGATACCCTAAATAAAGACATTATTTTTATGTCTCACCAGCGACCTCCAAGAAAGTTCGTCCCGAAAAATATTCGGATAAAGTTGTAGTATATATTGATTGTGACATTCCAGTAATATAATCTTCAATAGCATTAGTGTCAAAGCCATCCGAATTTTGCCTCTTCCTTAACTCATGTGCAGATTCAAACGTAAATGAAGTGGTTAGACCATATATAAGAGTTGAAAATCCAGGAGTAAGACACGAGTGTGCAAGAATAGCAAGTTTTAATTCATCAGTACATATTATTTGTTCAGGGTCTGAAAAAATTCGGTTAAAATAGAAATGTATAATAAAAAATAATTACATTAGAGACTATTAATTTAAATTTAACTTACTTAAACTCTCAAAATGAACTTTATTCTCTGGCAAAATGCATTGAATATAAAGTTTTGGCCCCTGATTGAATTTTCTTAATGCCTATCAAATAACGATAAGTTTAGATAGAATGAAAATATCAATATCAATAAGCGTAACCGAATTAATTATACATACAATAGTTTTCAATACGTTCTCTGCATCTATTATTTCACTTTGCTGAGTATATTTTTTAGCTAAAATGAAATACGCAGACGCATTTTTTGCATCAGCCTTTTCAAGGCTACGCGCTTCGAGTGAACTTCCACGAACATATTGCACACGATGTGCGAAGACAGGATCAGAGAGAAATGTTCTCACGCGATCTGTAGGTTCTACAGGATTTAGTATCACAACCTTTAATTTTTTGAATTTCAAATATATTAATACATGCTTTTCAAAAATGAATCCCTAAAAAGTCCAAGTCATACCTTAGTATTAACCGTCGCAGAACCATGCGCCGTAGAATAGAATTCTTTCAAAAAATGTCTTAATGAAGGTAATTCTATAGTTGGTGCAATAATAATTACGTGCGGTTGCTGAGAAATCTTCTTAAATGGTTTATCGTAAACTGATTTTGAACGAATTAGCGCGATCAATTCCGATATAGAATACTAATATAAAAAACAATCAATATGTCAATTTTTTTTAAATGAGTTATTAATTTACTGACTTACCGGAATAAATATCAAACCAGTTGTAAAAATGGCCAATAAAAGAATCCTTGGGAATGCATTATCGGGTACTATATCACTAAGGTAGCCAACGGTACCCAACATAATAGTCGTAAAGAATACAGCTATTTATGACCAATAATTAATATATATCGGCCCAAAGAAAAATAACAATTAAAAGAACTTTTTGATAGTGAAATGTACCGTCTAAGAAAGTAAGATTTTGTGCTTTCTAAATCAAAGTAAAATAAACGTACATGAAAGAGAGAATTTTACTTAGAATGAAATTTCCAAAATAAGAAAGTTAAATTGAAATTAATCTATTATACCATATAAGCATTCTCCACGCCATGTAATAAAGAGGAACCGGTCAATACAAGAAATATTATGGATTGTAAAAAGATCAAAAATCTACTAGTAACTTGGCCCAATTTCAAAACAGATTTTTCACTCCTTACTAAACAATCACATACAGAAAAATAGCAACGAATGAACCTGAAAGGATAAAAGAAAACTATATAACGGGTTTGTTGAAAAACAGGGTCTATTGCAGTTGCAACCACAGGGTAAATGGTTAAAACAGTCAGAATCGGTGTAGGACTAGTAAATATCGAGCGCCACGAATAAAACTCGTAAATATAAAACTTTGGAATATATTCTAATAATAATAAAATTGACAACACGACCTCAAACCATATATTAAGCGTTGGTAACGTTCCTTTCATGTGACTTGTGTTTGCGACGTAAACAACACACAATAATATATTGAAGAAAGCGTCAACCAATTTCCATATACTACCAATAGCAGAGTTATCGAGTTCCACAGCCAACTGTTCACGCCATGAAGGCTTGTATAGAGTATGGTAACGTGGTTGCTTTAAAGTAAAATTTGCAGAAGCAATAGAAATTACTGAAGATGCTCTACTTGAAGATGTGGAATTTGTAGGGATACGAAAGGTAACTTGTGGAGGTTCCTCGACAAGTGGTTCGGAATTTGAAGTTATCCTTGACATTGTAAACCAACTTTCTATTATTAAAATTGATCGAGTTGTAATTTAAAAAAAATTTCATCAGGATTTACCATTTGCTGCGGTTCTGTAGACTGTACACAAGTACAAAGCACTATTTTTAAATTTTATGTTTCAATTTCACTGTAAATATTTTATAGAGAACTTTTAACATCTTAAACGGACTATTAATTACAAGATATTACAGACATAAATGACTATAGTTTCAAATCTTAACATATATATTTAACTTTGTATCGAGAAAACTTTAGTTTGTATTTGTATTTATAAATTAGATTAATATGTGGTGGTTTAACAAATCCTGTTCGCAGTTACCAGGAACAACTTACGTCTTATGGCTCTTAAAGTCAAAACTAGTTAGATACATACTGTTTATATATATGGCTTTTTCTATATTATTTTCTATAACACAATTAGTAAAATATACTTTTGGAAATTATGGAATATATTCATCCGAGTTTTTAGAAAATCAGCCTATCTTTAGAACATACGGTAAAGTATATTAAAGAATAAGTGTATATTAAAATTGATGATGATACTAATTTAATTTTCTTTGATAGATACACATCGAAATTCTCCGCTATCCGAAATGACAAATAAACATAGATTTTCAAAGATTCATGCATATTCTCCTCATACATTGGTTGATAGTATACATCCTTATTATATTCGTGCAGAGTCAAAATTTAAACCTGACGATGTAACAGTTATTACATTTGTTACCCACAATCGTTTAAACGAATTAGTTAGATTGGCTGAATTATGGAAAGGTAGCGATATTATTTGTTTCTTTATTTAAGTTTCCTTTTAATAATTTATTTATCTATTTTTTTCTTTCAGGGCCAATATCAGCAACTTTACATATACCTTCTAAAATAGGATTAACTGACCCACTTATAGTTGAAACGATTAACTCAATTAAAAAAATTTATAAAAAAAAAACAAATTTACGAAAACAAATCGACATTCATCTTATAACCGGCCCATCAACTTCACTTAATGAAACCTTATTACCAACTCCAACTAATTTTCATGTAAATGTTGCTCGTTTTTTTGCTAGAACTGAATTTATTTTCTTTCTTGATTTTGATACTTGGCCAACGCCTGAAACTCATTCAAATATTAAGCGTTATGCTGATATATTAATTAAAAATAATGTTTTAATTTTACCTACTTTTGTATTTATTGAAAATGTTGAACATGTTGAAAATAGCACTATTCATTATAAGTTTCCTAAAACAAAAAACGATGTAATTCGTTTAGTTAATCGACGTAAATTAGGTTTGCAAGATTATGGTTGGGAAATTAATAGTGGTCCAACTTGTTTAGATAGTTGGTTAAAAGCTGATGAATTGTTTCATGTTGAAGAATATGAATTACATTATAGACCAAATTTCGTTGCAAGAAAAGGTGGTCAGATTCCTTGGTAAGTGATTTCTCTTTTACACCTTTTTAATGATTTCTTTGATACATTAATCAAGACTCTTTATTTTTAAATAGGTGTTCGGAACGATTTGATGATAATAAAGCAGCTTGTATTTTTGAAATATATTTAAGTGGTGCCGAATTGTATGTTGATCCTAACAGTTTCTTAATTCGACATCATTTTGATCAAGATTCTCATCTCGTAAACTATGGAGATCCACATTGGCAGGTTTGTAATTTTTATGCAATATAAACCGAAAATTTAATTATTAAACTAATTCTTACACTTTATTTTTATAGAAAGTAATTAATAGCCGCATGTACACAAATTTTTCACGAGAGGTTTGTCTTTTATATGTTAGAACATTTGTAGCAATGGATTTATGGAAATCACCTATTTCTGATCACGTAAAGCAAGAATGTCAGAGAGTTTTGGCAAGTTGGGGTTCAGGTTTAATAAAGAATTCTGAAAAATAATTGAGTTCATTTAAAATTGTGAAAAAACGGGGTGTGACGTTTTGGAAATCATTAATTACATTAAACTATATTCAAATCATTTTAATATATATATTTGAAAATTTCAATAGAAATTTATAGCCTCAAAAAGGTATGACACAGGAAAATCGCGAAATAATTCTGATTGATATCTGATTTTTCGATTTTCGATTGTAAAATAAACTGGTCACGTCTTTTTGAAAATAGTAATAACAAGAATAAAAATAATATAATTATGAAGTGATAATATGAATCTGGCTGAATAAATTTATCTAGTTGATAAATCTGAAAATTTTACAGCCCATTTAAAAAAAAGGAATCAAGTTTTTAATAAATCAATCTTCATTCATTATACTTTGTTCAAATAATTGACTATTACTTTAAAAATTTAGTTTCTACTAAATTAAATATTCCGAAATCTGAAAAATTTGTAATATGTAATTTTATTTTATATTATTAATCAGAAACTAAAGCTTAAAATATGGCTAATTAATAGATATTTCATTTATATATATATATTTATCCAAAAACTTAAGAGTATAACTTTAAGTAAACTAATTTAAATTGGTAAATAATTGTATAAATCTAAGTATTGGTAATCAAAATGGTAATAGTCTCATGTAATATAAATATTTTAATTATATTATTTATTTGTTAATTTATTTTGTATTTTTTATTACTTTATTATTACCATATTTTATTAAAATTAAGCATCCTTTGAAAATAAATACTCTTATTTCATATGATATTAAGCAAAAATACCATATAGCACTATCTAAAATACCCCAGAATCCAGCTTTTTATCAATTTCAGCAATTTAAAAATTAAATTATACCTGTGGTATTTTATAAGGTATAGAATATATTGGGTAGTATTAAGTACTTGGTAGGTATTTTATCAAAAAATATTGTATTACTTACCAATCTGAAAATTATCATTTTAAACAAATATTTACACTTTTTGGTATTGCCGTATTGGATTCTTTTTCTGCATACAAAACTGATGTAGTTAAACAATAATTTTGTAAAAAAAAATTGATTTGGCAGTTATTTCAAATGGTCCAACATTTCATTTGCAATTACTTATTATATATCTTTTAAATTAAAAGTAATTATTTTACTATAATAAAATTATTGGTTAAATTAATTATACTATTATAAATGATTGCCTTATTTAAAAAATTAAATTACATTTAGATTTAAATTAAAAAAAATTTTTTTGTTTAATAGAATATACAAATATATATATTACTATAAAAATATATAAAAAGAAGGATTTCTTAAGTAGTATAATACAGTTAGAGTTTATATCCGTCCATCTGGATATCCAATTTTTGCGTTATCCATTTATCCAGATATCCAGCTGATTTATTCAGATATAATCCAGATAATCCGGATATTACCCGGATATCTTAAATTATCTGGATATCCAATTATTTTTGCAGACTAATTCAGGCCAAATTTATAATTCTGACCAGAATTACGCCTTGGTAAGATGATCATTTCCATTTTTGGTGATAGCCATTCCACAAAAAATTATTTTTCTAAAATTCAAAAATTTTCTTTTTAAGAGGTTATGTAATATTAATGTCTAAAAAAGAAAAGATTTTGTCATAATTCTGGCCGACATTATAAAATTTGTCCAAGTTACTTTTAACTAATATTTGGATATCCATCAGATTATCCAGATATCCCAAATTCTGTATCCGTCCAATCTGGATATTCGAATATCTGCGGATATTCATTTTTTAACGGATAACGGATATAAACTCTAAATACAGTAAGTACTATTAAAAATAAACAAAAATAATTTCTAATTATTTTTTATTATTAACATCAATAATTTCAAATTCTTTTTCATTTTTTTTTATTTTCAATTTTTTATAAATAATATCATTTTTTCAATTTAACTAAAAGGATTGTTTAGAGTATTTTTTGATAGAGAATTGCTTCTAAGTTTGTTTGGGAAAATTATTTTTTGAGAATTTTTTAACTGAAAATATCGTTTGATAGAAAAATTTCTAAGAATTCATTTAGGAAAATTATTTTTTGAGAATTTTTACTAAAAGAATTGTTTGGGATATTTTTTGATGGAGAATTTTCTAAAAAAGTTCATTTGGAAAAATTATTTTTTGAGAATTTTTTAACTAAAAGAATCATTTAAAGTGTTTTTTGATAGAGAAATTTCTAAAAGTTTATTTAAAAAAATTGTTTTTTGAGAAAGGAATTAAGGGATATAATGGGATCTGCCCTATAATTTATTTTTCTACAATTTGTTTTTTTTTTTGAATTACATTAATATTGAAGTCAATTGTAGATCAAATCATTTTTAATCTCATTCAAATCTAATATCTTTCTTTCCTTTTTTAGTTAGTAATCTCTTTTATTATAATTTCTTTTTTAGTGCAAGTGGCTTTCCGCTTTTCGCTCAAAGGGATTGTTTAGGACATTTTTTAATAGAAAAATTCTAAGAGTTTATTTGGAGAAATTATTTTTAAGAATTTTTTAACCAAAAGGATCAATCATTTAAGATATTTTTTGATAGAAAAATTTTTAAGAGTTTATTTGGAAAAATTATTTTTGGAAATTTAAATTTTTTATGTAATGTTCAGGATCCTGTTATTTGGATGGAGATTTTTTTGAGAAATTTTCGTTTAAAATGATCAAATATACTTCATATGCACTGATCTTTAGAACTGGCCTAAATTAAAGATTTAACAATTTAATTTTGAAAAATGTGATATTTGTTTCACAACCTCTAATTTTAATTGTATTACATGATCATCTTTTGCGGACTGATAAAAAAAATAGAACTTTTACTTTTGAAATAAAGAATATACTATCTATAAACACAAATAAACAACGCAAAAGAAGATGAGTTTTTAATGTTTAGATGGGTTTATGATATAGAAAAGTCTTTTATGTTATTTGTATATTAAATATAATAAGTAACTATTTTTATTTGTTTCTAAAGGTTTTTAACATGTAGTAAAGTTGTAAAAAAGTGTAAAAGCCTAGAACTTAAAGCAAAACTTGGTATGATTTATTTGTTTATTTATTTGTTTATTTTATATCATATTTTAAAGAATTTTAAGTAAGAAAAAGTTTTATTATTTATTTTAAATTTAGGCAAATTTTATTCAAAAATCTGATAGTGGAAAACTTATGTGATTTTTTTAACTTTTTGTCAATAATAGGTTTATTTTAATATCATTAGAATTATCTTATTTAAAGCTTTATTTTGGTATAATTTTACTATATTTGAATCATAAATTACATTTTTTTTTAAATAATAAATAATATATTACAAAAATTAATAACTTAACTAATATAAAATTTATTTTTATGAAAATATTATTAGTAGATTCTACTCAAATAGAGCTTTCAATTAAGAATAATTTTGTTTGGTTTAAATAATAGGATGTTAAAATATATGAGTTTTTTGAAAATTTTACATACGCTTATTACAAATAGTATATGCACATGATAGTATTGTCCATCCATCATTTCCATAATAGTTTTTGAAATATTTTTATCATAAACTAAATGACTAAGGGATGATTAATTCTCAATTCTGCAAATTGGCAGATATGTTATAGAAACTTAACATTTTTAACCAATATAGAATTGATATCATTAAGTTTATCTTAACGGTATTATTTTGACATTATTTCGATATTAATTTAATATCAATTTAATATTGATGTGATTAAGATTGCTTGTCTAAACCTCTTCAAAATCCTACGATTAGTTTCTTCAAAATTTTACTATAGATTTATTATAGTTTCGGCAGAGTTTCAGCAGTTTTAGCATTTATAATAAGTTTTGGCAGTTTCGCCTTTCTTCAAAGTTTCGCCAGTTTTTTAATATAACTTTAATATAGTTTCGGCAGAATTTCGCTTTTCGGCGAAACGCCATCTTGTCTAAACCTCTAGATTTCGGCAAGCAACTTTAGATGTGATATCAAAATAAAGTATTATCATTTTGATATCATATTAATATTGAATCAATATTAAATTAATACCAAAATGATATCTAAAATGATATCAAAATGACATCTTTAAGTTAAACTTAAATATATTATTTCGATGTCATTTCAATTATCATTTTAGGGTTTGTTTTTTGTTGCTATGGTGACATGTTACAAGAGTCATGTTACCGAGTTTTATTGGTAAAAAATTTGTGCCACCCATTTTTGCGACGCAAAATATGACGTGATTTTTTTTTATTTTTTTGATAATTCTTTCAGCTTTGAATTTCAGATTACGGTTTGGTGAGTATTTTTTTTTTGTATTGTTTTTGATTTGGTTTAGAAACACTACTAATGTTCCTTTTTAATTTTTCTTCTTTTTTTAGGGACTTTTTCAGTTAGCTTTGAACTTCAGAATGGTAAGTATTTGTATTTTTCTTATTGTTTTTAACTTGGAAACGCTACTAACATTCCTCTTTCTTCTTTTTAGAAACATTTTTGGACCAAAACTTTGGCTTTGGACTTCAGAAGGGTAAGTGTTTAGGCTTTAATGTTCTTTTCTTATGTTTTTGTATTATTTTTTGATTTAGGAACGCTATTAACAGGACCCCGAATATTACTAAAACAACTCAGATCCTGTGTAACTAAAATTTCAAAATGCGATATCTCAGTCAATATTACACCTTAAAAGATGAATTACATATCAAAATGTTCGTCTCATTAAGACGAATCTAACAAGCCAAAGATCATTAAAATCCAATCACTGGATCCCGAGATAGCTAATTTTGAGTTTAAAATCTACATATAAGTGAACTTTATACATTTGGAACAGAAATTAATTATAAGGTTTATACAAATTCAGATCTGAGTTTTTTAGTAATATTCGGGATCCTCTATTAACAGTCCTCTTTCTTCCTTTTTTTAGGAACGTTTCTGGAATTAAAATATGCTTTAATAATATCAAGCTTAACTTCTTTCATAAACTTTTTTCCTTCTCTGCACATAGTTGGACCTTTCTTGTAATCAGCCATTTATTCCGTTCTTACCAAATTAAGCCAAATTTCAAAATTAGCATCAACTTTTATTTTACTTTTGAAGAATGTGAGTGTAATTTCTTCAAATACATCCAAGAGAACCCAATTGCCGTTGAATACTTGTAATAACCTATATATTTTTGGCAAGATCTGAAGCATTAAATCTAAATCTCCAAGATCTATGTTGGTATATTCTTCTATTATTTTTTTCTTGGCTTGTGATCTGGTTGTCTTCCCTCTATTTTGTTTAAGATTTGCAGAACAGAATGCTTGCAAGCAAATATATGATTTCCAGACTTTCACGTGAAAGCGTAGATTTTTACGTTGCAAGATTTCTTTGACGACTTGACTTTTTGTACTTCCTGTGACAGAATTAAAAATATTACCTACTAATTTATATAATATATTTTTAATTTCATTTTCGTCTTTAGCTATAAATGGAATTCTAGTACAATTTGAAGAAGAAATATCCATCAAAATTATATCATTCAAAAAGTCACCAATTAACTGTTTGAAGCCTTTTAAGAATGAAAATTCTGAATTGTTTATTAGGTGATTTATAATGGCTTGTCTGTATAATTTATTTCAGAAGAAAATCTTTTTATCACGAGTAGAAGAACAAGTTGGCAATTTATGGATAAATTGCAATATTTTGTGTAAATCTTTATCAAGATTTACAGCTTTATCATCAAGATTATACTTTTTTTCATCCTTTTTATGATTTTTTCCATTACTTTTGTTGTCTGATGATACTTCTTCAAATTTTTCAAATCCTGGATTTTCTTTGACAGGTCTCAGCCTTTCAGATGATTCCTCAAGTTGTCTCTTGGATGGTCCCTTGAATAATTTCAGATTTTCTTTGATAGGTAACAATTCTCCTTTATGAAGTCTCTTTTTATTCTTTCTATATTGAGCCCGATGTTTAAGCTTCTGGTTCCTTTCATTATTTGGTAATCCATTACCATTTATACCTTTACCTGATAATTGAATATAAACATATACAGTAGTTCTTTATTTCTTGTGCAATATTGAGCTTGATATTTAAGCTTCTGACCTTCTTTGTCATCTGGATACAAGTGCAAAATTAAAGTGCCCTCTTCTTCAGTCATCAGCACTGTGTTGTTGTTAGAATTTAAATTTACACTGCTAATATTCATTTTCTTCATTGTTCTCAAAGAATTAAGCCATTCGTCAATAATATTAGAGCCTAATTAATAAGTCTCTTTTTTTTATCTTTACTATCATTATTTATATCTTTACTATTATTTTTATCGACACCATTGTCTTTATCATTCTCAATATCTGTATTTAAAAAGTTAATAATTAAGTAAAAAAAATGGGTTATATTTTAATAAATCTTAGTTTGTACCATTTAAAGTTTCATTACTAGGATCGTTAGTTATATCATCATTATTATCTTTATCGATACTATTGTCTTTATTATTCTCAATATCTGTATTTAAAAAGTTAATAATTAAGTAAAAAAAATGGGTTATATTTTAATAAATTTTAATTTGTACCATTTGAAGTTTTATTACTAGGATTATCAGTTATATTATCGTTATTATCTTTATCGATGCCATTGTCTTTATCATTCTCGACATCTGTATTTAAAAAGTTAATATTTAAGTAAAAAAAAAAGGTTATATTTTAATAAATCTTAATTTGTACCATTTAAAGTTTTATTACTAGGATTTTCAGTGATGGTATCATCATAACTTTTTATAAAATGAGAAAAATAATAATTATTTATTGCTTTTTGTAAATAATGGTAAAAAAAAGAAGTAGACCTTACCTCCTTTCTTAGGATATAATTTATTACCATTATCTTTGAGATCGTTAAAGATTTAAATTTTATATTTTAATTATATTATACAATATTATAAAATAATGTTAAACCTTAACACACCTGAACTTCTAACTTTCTTATTGTATGAAGGTTTTTGTTCATTATCAATAAGATTATTTATAAAAAAAAAAGAAAAAAAGAATTTTACTTTTTGCTTTTTTTATAAAAGATAAAAACATAAAATAAACTTTACCTCCCTTGGAATGCTTTTTATTTGAAGTTTTTCTCATATTTGTGATGTCTTTTCTATAATATAATGTAAAATTTGGTTAATAACTTCGTTATAATGATATATGTGAAGAATGCTCATTTTGTATATTTACTACGTGTATTATTTTTTTTTCTTTAAAAAAAAATATGGTAATAGTTTTTATTTCAATTAAATTTTTTGTTTTATAATATAGCTTGTGAATATTGTAAGAGGAAGAAACCCTTATTTTAAAGAAAGAAATTTAGTTTATAAATTTGAAATAAAAAAAATTGAACTATATTATATAAAAAAAAAATCAATTACGTTAGACATTTTTGTCTTGTGAATTGAAAAACCAAAAAATTGAATTACATCAGATAAAAAAAAAATATCTAATTATGTTGGCATTTTGCATTTAAACAATTTGCATACATAATACAATTGTAAAGCAATCACATGTTTGTGCATATAGAATAGGATTAACATTTATTTATATATGTACACGTGATAAAGTGTAAATGCTACCATTTTTTATTTTTTTATTTTAAGTATATATTTAGTATATTTTTTGCCGATCAATTTAATATCATTGTATTTTATTGGTAATCAAATTACATCTTCAAATAAAATCAAATCACATTGGGGACTAAAAAATTGGATAAAAAAAAAATTATCTAATTATGTTTGTATTTTTTATTTTTTATTTTTAAATATATATTTAATATATTTTTTTGCTAATCGATTTTAATATCGAAATATTTTATTGGTAAAGGATATTTTGTAAACTAAAAAATCGAATTACATCTTCAGATAAAACTAAATCACGCTAGACGTTTTGTCTTATGAACTGGGTGACTAAACAATCAAATTATATATTCAGATAAAAAATATTTAATTACGTTGTTATTTTAATGTATTTAGTATATTTTTTTGCCAATCGAATTTAATATCAAAATAGGACCCCAGATATCTCCAAAACAGGTCATAAGTCACACTTTCAGGCAAACATGGCATAGCAGCCTTTATCTTTATTAATTATTTATTGAACTTTACAAATTTATATACATAAGAAATAGAAAATAAAATAAAAACTAACTAAAAATAAAACTATTTAGTCTCCTAGAAAGAAATTAAAATTAAAAGAAAATTCAAAAGACAAATCGCTAATACTAACACTTCCTAGATCTTCTCTCTTGATATATTCTAACCAAAGTAGAAGCAACTATGCTAACATAATAACGAATAACGTACCCACTATTAAACTCGACACTTCATCCTGCAAAGGCTGTTATTAAGTAGCACCGTTAGACGACCCATAAAACCTGACATATGATTAAACTAAGATAATCTATATTTCATCGAGTTTCTTAACCAATCAGTTCCAGAGTCACGTGAATCAACATGGGTTGGAGGTGGTAAAGATGAGTAAGGTAAATAATAAGATTTGGACAAACTTTTAGGCCTTGAGGACTGTTTAAGTTTTGAAGTAATGTTCATCGTAAAGCTCCGCATGAGCCGAGCCGGCTCGTGAGCTGGCTCGAGCTTTTCAAGCTGAGCCGAACTGAGCCATGATTAAATTGGCTCAGTGGCTCGTGAGCCAGCTCGAAAAGAGCTCGAGCCGGTAATAGGCTCGGCTCAAAAAGCTCAAGCCGGTAATAAGCTCGGCTCAAAAGGCTCGAGCTGGCTTGTAAGTTATCATACAAAAAATGTTGCGAAACGTTTTTTCGTAATAATATATTTAAGAAAAAAACGTTTCGCAACGTTTTTTTTCGATATTTTAATAAAAAACGTTGCGAAAACGTTTTTTCAAAATATTATATTTAAAAAAAAACGTTTGACAACGTTTTTCAATATTTTTAATAAAAAACGGTGCGAAAACGTTCTTTATTAATAATATATTTTAAAAAAAACGTTTCGCAACGTTTTTTTTCAATGTTTTAATAAAAACGTTGCGAAAACGTTTTTTTCAAAGTATTATGTTAGAAAAAAACGTTTTGCAACGTTTTTTTTCAATGTTTTAATTAAAAAATGGCGCGAAACATTTTTTTGTAATAATATATTTAAGAAAAAAACGTTTCGCAATGTTTTTTTTCGATATTTTAATAAAAAACGTTGCGAAAACGTTTTTTCAAAATATTATATTTAAAAAAAACGTTTTGCAACGTTTTTCAATATTTTTAATAAATAAACGTTGCGAAAACGTTTTTTATTAATAATATATTTAAAAAAAAATGTTTCGCAACGTTTTTTTCAATGTTTTAATAAAAACGTTGCGAAAACGTTTTTTTCAAAGTATTATGTTAGAAAAAAATGTTTCGCAACATTTTTTTTCGATGTTTTAATTAAAAAATGTTTCGCAACGTTTTTTTCGATGTTTTAATTAAAAAACGTTGCGAAAACATTTTTCTTAATAATACATTTAAAAAAAAAACGTTTTGCAACGTTTTTTTTCAATGTTTTAATAAAAAATGTTGCGAAACGTTTTTCTGAAGATAAAGCTCGAGCCTAGCTTGGCTCGAGCCAGGTTTTTAATGGCTTGGCTCAGCTCACTTTAGCTCGAGCTGAAATTTTTTATGGCTCAGCTCATTCCGGCTCAGGCCAGAATTTTTTTTTCGAGCCAAGCTAAGCCAGACTGTGGCTCGGCTCAAGCCGGCTCGTGCGGAGCTTTAGCTGTAATGCCGTAATTTAATTTAACACCATAATGTCGTAAATATATATGCCGTAAATGAATAAGAGTATAAGACTAAACTTAATTTCAGCTAAGTTCGTAATGCAGGGTCAATTTTTTTTTGCGTTTTATCATGTGACATTACACAGATTTCCAAAAAAGGAATTTTTGTCCCTCAATAAAATTGAATAATGGGTTGCACAAGGTTACACGAGTTTCCAAAAAAGGAAATATTCCTGTCAATCATTTAGCAATTGTAAAAGTCACGTGATCATGATTAATTACGGCGCCACATTACGGTTACGGCATTATTTATGACATACAGTCAACTCTCTATAAATACACTCTCTATAAATGCACATCCTCTACAAATGCATTCTTTTGCCTGTTCCCAACTTGGGACTTAATGCTAAATGCACACTCTCCATGTTCTACACGTGTAATAATTTTTTTAATTCAATTATATAGTGTAATTTTCTATAAATGTACTCACGTGATTTTTACATGAAATAGATACCAAAATACTCAATTTAATTTAATGTATTACATGTATTACATTGATTTTCTATTCCTTATTTGTCTATTTATATTAATAAAAATTACTAAAAGTTGTCAATTAAGACATGTATTACTGAACCTATATAATTGCGTGTAGTATGCGCAGTACACGCAGTACGCGCAGTTTAGTTAACTTCATACCGGTAAATAGTTATGCCGAAAAATAGAGTCACTTTAACTGACCTTCAAAAATATGAGTTCTGTCTTTATGCTTATGATAATAAAAAAACTTGAACCCAATATGTGAACTGGATAGAAGAGAAATGGGGAGTTAGAGTTGATGAGTTCACAATTACAAGAATTTTGAAAAGTAAGAATAAGAGACTTGGTACAGAAATTGCTAATCCAGAAGCAAAGCGCCATAAATCTGTTCTTGTTCCAGAATTCGAGCTTGCACTAAAGGAATTTGTATTAAATTATCAGCATAAAACAATTTTGAGTGATGGTGTTTTAACCGAAAAAGCAAAACAGTTAGCTGATGAGTTAAATGTTCCTTAAGGAACATTACAATTTTCTTCTGGCTGGCTTCAAAAGTTTAAAGACCGTAATAATATTCATCAGGTAAAACTTCAAGGAGAAGCAGACGCAGCTGACATAGATGCCATTGCTGAAGCTTTGCCATTAATTAGAAATAAATGTTCCAAATATCCTCCTGAACAAATTTACAATATGGACGAAACTGGGCTTTTCTATCGGTAATTTTTTTTAATATTTAAGTTTTCCTTATTTGTATTAGCTTATTATCATCTGATATATCAGTTATTTTTTAGGTTAGAATCAGATCGAATATTAGCTACACAGCGTCTTTCTGGACGGAAAAAATGCAAAGAACGCCTTTCTGTTGCTTTATGTTCAAATGCCGATAGTTCACATAAACTGAAGCCATTGATAATTGGTAAATATGCAAATTTTCAATGTTTTAAAAACATCAATATCAGAAATTTACCAATGACTTATCAGAATAATTCTAAAGCCTGGATGTTAACAACTCTTTTCAAGAGTGGCTTCAAGAATTTGATTATCAAGTGGGCATAAAACACAGAAGGCAACGTGTTTTATTACTTCTTGATAATTGCACAAGTCATAAGCTAGAAAATCTAACCCTTTCTAATGTTGAAGTTTGCTTTTTACCTCCTAATACAACTTCAAAACTTTAACTAATGGACGCTGGTATCATTATGTCTTTTAAAAAACACTATTGGCGTTATTATATTAGGCAAGTTTGTTTATAATGCATTATTGTGTAATATTTCAATTCAAATCTTAATTTAATTTTTATTTTGTAATATTAGGTGGATGTTAGAAAAAGTTGAAGCTGGTCAACATATACAAGATTTGAAAATGGATATTTTACAAGCAATACAATACATCATTCAAAATTGGGATGAAGTTTCAGTCAATACTATTCGAAACTGTTGGAATCATACTAAAATTCTTGGTGGAAATGGTGATGATAATGGGGATGATGATGATAGAGATGATGATAATAGAGATGATGATGATGATAGAGATGATGATGATGATGATGATAACAGAGATAATGATGATAACAGAAGTGATGATGATAACGGAGGTGATGATGATGATGATGACGATTCAGTACTTGATGATGATCTTAATAAGGCAATTAAAGCTCTTTATTTACCCAATATAATGCAATTAAAAGAATTTCCAACAATTCCTGAAGAAAATATTGTTTATGAAATTTCTGAAGATGAAATTATTTCAGAACTTGCAAACATATTTAAAAAAAATACCAATCATCCTGATGAAATAGATGATAGTACTGAAGCAGAAATCATTAGCATTAATGAAGCTTTAAAATGCTTAAAAACTCTAAATTTGTTTTTACTTCAACAAGAAAATGCAAATGAACATATAAAATTAGTGGATATTATTGAAAAATACATTAAAAGAAAATAAGTAAAATCAATGCAACAAACTACTATAGATCAATACTTTAGATAGTAATTACTGCTTTATTTTTTGTAATTTTTGTAATTTTGTAATTCTTCAATTTTATAATAATAAATAATATTTCAATTACTACTATATATTCTTTAAATGCACACTCTCTCTAAATGCACACAGTTGCCCAGTCCCAAAGGGGTGCATTTATGGAAAGTTGACTGTATGTCGTAATGCCGAAATGTCGTAATTAGGGAATTCCGATAGCACCTAGTATACTAAAGAGAAAAACTAAATAAAGAAAAAAGTCAAGTTTCTATTTACTATTAATCTCTTAAATAATAATTAATAATAAAAAAGAAGCTTATTTTCTAAATGGTCATCACTATTTTAACTAATACTTTATGAAAAATCTTTAAATATAAAGAAACTAATGAAAAATTTTACACTAATATAGAGTTTAAAATTCAGTTATCTAATATGTAATTATATTACAACTTTTAGGAATTTAGTAGGAGAAAAGTTTTGCAAAAATAAAATTACTTTTGGTAAAAACTGCTTTAAGTTAAGTAATTCTACTAAACTAGGAGTTTTAAATTCAAATAAATTTTAAAAATTTTCTTAAAGTCTTTAAACTGAATAAAAACATCTTACAGTTCTTTAAATGAGAACAGCTTAATAATTAGCAAATGAAAAATGTAGTTGATTTCCAAAAATTTTTTTTTTTCATTAATTATAAAGCCTGTAAATTTATTATAAAATATTTAGATAAATCTAAAATATTTAGCAAATAATTAAATAATAAAAGGTTAAATTTTAAATAAAATTATATTAATAATTAGAAATTAAAAAATAAAATTATAACAAGATTTTTATAAAATTATAAATCAAATACATTTAATCTTTTTATAGATACTTTTTAAAATTAAAAAAAGAATATACAATCATCCTCCCATATAATCACATCCTTCGGGACCATAAAAAAATGGTGTGACTATAAAAATTATATATGATGTGATTAAAGGGAAGGTTTTTTTAATAAGTTTATTAGTAACTTGGGATTAATGTAAATGTGCTTATAAGGGAGTTGTGATTATACAGGGGGTGACTATATGGGAGGACGACTGTAATTATAAAAATACTATATAGTATAACTAAAAAGAGGGTTTTATTAACTTAAAAGAACTATGAAAAATATTAAAATAAGTAAATCTAGTAAAAAAAATTTATTATTGATTATACATATTTTTTAAAGTTAGAATTATGATAATATCAGTTAGTTAACTAAAACAGAACAGAAAAATAAAATTCTGAATTTTAATTTAGACCAACATAAATGTACTTATAAGGGAAATGTAACTATATTTAGATGTATTTATAGAGGGGATTGGCTGTATTAATATTAATAGTTTTACTTTTTTAGTATAGATTTTTAACTTTAATTTAAATTCCAGAACTTTGGTAAAATTTTATTTTTACAGTACTTTTGAAAACTTTTTTTTAAAGGCTTTATAAAGTTTTAGAACTTTTAATAAGTATTAAAATTATTTTTTAAAAAAAAGGTATAGAAAAGTTTTTAGGATTACTTCTAAATCTTTTTACAAAAGTATTTTTATAAATATTTTATTTTATTTTAAATTTTTTTTATAAAATTTAATTTTTGACTTTTTTTAATTACAAATCATATAATATAAATCTTTTGGTTAATTTTATTTATCAAATGCTGATTTTAATTAGCAGTTTTTAATAGTTGAATTTATTTATTAATAGAATAGTTGTACTAATATTCTAGTAATTTATTATAATATTAAATATATAATGAATGCATTTTTTTAAATATGCAAATTGATTTTTTTCAGTTAATAATTCTATATTAAAAATTATAGAAAATAGTAAAATTATAACAAGATTTATAAGAAATTTTTATTTGTTAAAATTTTAGGAATTATTTTTTGTACTAAAAAATTTAAATAACATGCATAAATTGGTTTTTTTTCAAATCTCGTTAATATGTTAAATCATGTGATCGATTTTTAGAACACAGAATTGGTCTGGGCGATTCAAACTAGTTCGACTTTCAAAAGTGTACGAAAAATACAAGCTTGTTAGTTGTTTGAATATTCTAGTAATATTTTACTCTTTGGTTTACTTAAAATTTTAATACATACCGAGTTGCATACTACCAATTGAGCCTTTTATAAGACAATTGGAAAGCTGCAGTCTTTCGTTTTCTTAACCCTGTAAAAATTAATTCCTTTAATACCTTTTATATTCCTCGACTTTTGATATCGCCTCGGGTAAGTATTTATTTAGACTTTTAAGATCATTTATGTCTATAGACTATTTATTTTAATCTTAAATTTATATTTATATTTTACAGACTTTCCGCGTTTCTTTTTGATTTGTTTAACTTTGACTCGTTTACCTTGCTTTGATTTTTTCAAACATAGAAAGAAGCCAACATCCAGTTAGTGAGAACGCGCCCAATGTTAGTTTATTTTGTCCATGATAAAATGTTTGATTTATTACTCAACTCTGTTGTTTTTTATCGTAATAGGACTTGTTGACCGTTCAAACTTCGCGAGCTTGTCCAGTCCTATTAATTCAATATTAATTCTTACATTAGTTATTTCTTGCGAATATAATAGATTCGCTTAAATTTATCTTTGTTTTATCGTATTTATCCTTCTATTTTATTTATTTAATAATTATCGTTTATTAATATAAAGTTAATTAAAAATTATTATTATTATTATTATTATTATTATTATTATTAGGTAAGATATTTGAAAAATGGATGGCGCTTCGCATAGTCGAAGGCGCTCTGATCATAATATATCATATAATCAATCTCCTCAACACAGATACAACAATTCTGAAAGAATGGACTTTGTTGGAATAACTATAAGCGACGATTATTCACAAAAACAACTCAACACATTACCCATAATGAATAATACTTCATCACCTTCGCAACAAAAACAATCATTACCAATTAATGTACAACGTCAAAATTCATATCCCCCAGTTCAAAATTCTGTTCAACAGCAAGAACCACCAGAAGGTCATAGTAGACGACGACTGGATAATTATGTTTCAAATTCACCGTCTGGACATTATACTGTATTACCCTCTTCTCAGCATCAAAATGTTCAGCGTCATCATCAACGGTCTTTGTCTGGACACCAGTCACAGCAGTCTTCCCAGAGTCAATCATATTCACAGATTTCTTCATTTCATCAAACACATCAATCTTCTCATATTAATTCTCGTCAACATCAACGTCCTCCACATTCACAACAACAATCTAGTGGACAACAGCCCCCACCTCCATTACCGAATAAACTTGCTCCTCCTATACAGACTGGTTTTCAAGTGACATATTCTCCGAGTTCTCAGCCTCCATCACCGAACGCTTTTCCAGCGCCACCTGCTTTTTCAGTAGCTGCTTCCCCGAATAAGTCATCATCTCAACAATTAAACCAATCTCGAACAGATTTCGGCAGCAGTAAATCAGAATATCGACCTACCGCGTTTCGACGAGTTCGATCTAAATCAGATTTACGACCTCAACCAGCACGTCGAGTAGATCTTACGAAAGGCGTTGTCAACGTATGTGCGATTTTATTAACATTTCGATATTTCGCAGGGACCTTAGCTGTCATCCTCATTTTTATTGCCGTATCATGGGATAACAAAATTGTGCTCGTAAATATTCAAATCACGAACACAGCCATTAAAAGCGTTGACTGTAAACTTAACGTTAACGTACCAGAATATCAATCCTCATTTCCGGTACGACCTAGCTTATAATCCACGTCGCGTATTAACAAAACCATCAAAAGGTGTTAAAAATGATGGGTTCGATAACGAGGATTGCGATTATATTTTATATGTGAACGATATATTGGGTAGTGAAGAAGGACAAAAGTAAAATTTTATCTCTCTTTTTTTTCTTATAGAAACAGAAACTCGTGACGTTTTTATATTAAATTTAATTTTTGTATATTTAGGTACCTAATACTGGATATTCTAGGCCAAGGAACATTTGGGCAAGTTGTAAAATGCCAGAATTTGAAGACAAGGGAAATTGTAGCAGTAAAAGTTGTAAAAAATAAGCCTGCTTATTTTAATCAGAGTATGATGGAAGTGACTATATTGGAGTTGGTAGAGTATAAAATAATTAGCATTATTTCTTAATTTAGCAAATTTATAAATATAGAGATAAATTTGTTTATTTCTTGTTGTTTGTATTCTTTATTGAAAAAGTATTTATTAGTTTCTAATTTAATTTAGTTAAACCAAACATGGGATAATCAAGATCAGCATCATATTTTACGACTTTTGGATACATTTATTCACCGTCGACATCTTTGTCTCGTGTTCGAACTTTTGTCCGTTAACCTTTATGAACTGATTAAACAAAATCAGTTTCGAGGACTTAGTACGAATCTTGTCAGAGTTTTTGTCGCTCAATTACTGGATTCATTGACGATTTTAAATGAAGCACGCATAATTCATTGTGATTTGAAACCGGAAAATGTGCTATTGAAAAAGTGTGTGAATCATCCGTTATAAATATAGTATATAATTAATTTTAAAGAAAGTTATAAGACATGTCAAATATTTTTATGTGTTTCATATTTTTTTTTTTTTTTTTTGAAGGGTATCGTTCCAAAAGGTGCCATAGAAAACATATTATGTTCAAATAATTTAGCAGTCATTTTTGTTTTTTTTTTTTTTTTATAAAAAAAAA